TGCCCCCCCCCGCCGCTGTCGCTGTCGTATCACCATCGATTGCCGGCCACCGATCCGCCGGGCACAACAGTAGTGCGCGTGTAGTGACAACGACGACGTGGAGTACCGGGGGAAGGTGGAGGAGGAGAAAAAAGTGCTACCGCGTGTCACCCGCGAGTTTTCCGTATTACGCGTTGCCGTCAGAATATTACCACGGGGTTAACGGTGAATCTCTCGGAGGTGACGCACCGCGCCGACGACGCCGCCGCTGCCACCACCACCGCCGCCGCCGTCGTCGCCGCCGCCACCACCGCTACAGCCGCGACCTTGGAGACAGTGGAGAGTTTCGGAATCGGTTACGGCCAGGGAGCGGGCGAGAGCACAGGAAACTGGATGAAACCGCCGGGGAATCTCTTTCTCTACCCTACGCTAGACATGAAGGATCTGACGGGATCCATGGAGGACATGGTATTATTATTATCATCATCATCATCCGTCATTATCATCATCATGATTATTATCATCGTCACAACATTATTCGTTATTCCACCGTCCTCGTCGCGCCGGGATTGCGCGGGCGACTCGAGTCTCGACGTCGTGCGGCACTTCGAAACCGCGCCCGCCTCGTCGCGACGCGCCAGGCCGCTCCGCGCCGTGGCGTCGTGTCGCTTGGCCAGGCTAACTTGGCCTAGCCGAAACCCCTAGAGAACCTATGACGAAGTCTGACGAGAGATTTTATCAAAATTCTACGAGAGAAAGATATATATACTTTCCCTTTGTACACATATTATCTCACTCCAACTCATGCTGTTTTACCCTTATTAAAGTTACAAAGTAAAACAGTATAAAGTTAAAGTGAGATAGTATGTAGAATGTATGTGTATCCATCTCTCTCTCTTTTTCTCTCTTTCGTAGGATTTTGACAGTCGCTCGTGGCCAGACTCTGATACAGAGTCTCTAGCCTACCTTCGCGTTTCGTAGCCTCCGGCTGATAATTTATAGGTTATGTTCATCGTGCAGCCAACGAACGCGACATACTCGGCGTACTCTTTGTGCGCGTCCGTAGAACCGTTCCTCTCGCACGCATCTTCTTTGTTCTAGATTCTTCTCTTCAGTTATTTTTCCACCGACAATTCGACCGTACACTTGCCTCTCGTCCCGAGAGACGTAGAGTGGCGACGAAAGCGTGTAGCTTCGCGTGTTTACGTTTCTACGATCTCGTTACGTGATTGACGAAAATGTTATTTTCCGATCGGTTCGATATGTATTTAGTCATGAAATCTGTTCTTCTCTCTTGATGATGCTTTTATATTTATAAGATATAGGACGGACGAATGTTTATAAATATTGGAACAGAAAGAAAAAGAATTGTGTATATACACTAATATAAACCTATCATGGATAATACGATTAAAACGCAGATAATTATTATTACATAAATATTCTACATAACTTTTTAACTTACACACGAAAAGATTTTATTCCAGTAAAAATGCTCTTTTGTTTTTTTCCACATTTGTCTGTTTTCTGTTCCTGCACTAAATTGTTCTAAAACTCTTTCTCGCTTTAGACAAATATTAAACGTATATCTATCCTACTTTAAGTTCCAAAAGTGTACACTAGTTCAGCCACAAAAAACAGATCTAATGCATGTAGCTTATTCTTGTAGTATTACG